ATTATCTCAGTTTCCGTGGTATTTGGTGTGTCATTGCGGGAAGTACTCCTCGCTATGCCTTTGTGTAAGGAGGTTAACGCTGTTTTTCAGAGGGCCGAAACTTTCCTTCCAATTTTTAAAGTTGTGCTGCAGCTTCCGAAGGGAATGGAGAGCAGTAGAGGTCAAGTTAGCCTACTGCTGCTCTGTTTTCTTAAATACTTGGTTAAGTTTCTTTCCATGAAGCCTGAAAATAAATCAGAAAAATCTGCTGTAGACCTAAGTTTCACATGCTCTAAACTTCCCTGCAAAACCAGACCCGAGATACCCTGGATATAAATATATGTAAATACTGGGATAATGATTGGCATTTACACTTCAATGCTTCCTAGGGGTGTTTTAATATGGAGCTACAAAGGTGCTTTCTTACTGGTTTTGTTACCTGTCTGGCATTATAAGGAGGAGACTTTGTGATTGGGGTATGCAGTAATATGATTTGTTAATCTCTGGAAAGGTATTTTTCTTCTTTTCCTTCCTTTCCTCCCTTTTTCCTCCTTTGCCTACTTCAGTATTGATGGGAAAATGTTTCTCATGTGGCACAAATGGCCAAGAAGACTGGGAACATCTCGGCATCTGGCCTGAGTGACGACACAGCCCCACCATCGCTTTCCCTTTGGTTGTCCCTTGTGGCTTTCTGTCTCTGAGCGAAGGGTTCGGGCAAGGAACAGGGGGCTGCCTGGCGTGGGATGCCCAGGAAGGAAGCCAGGCCAAGGAGAAGCAGTGTGATAAAGATCCCCCGTTCCATTCTTGGTGGGGTTGGGAAAAAATAAAAGCTCAAGCTGTTACTGTCTTACAGGGGAATTCCAAGTAAAATTATTTCAAAATTTTGAAAAAGTGGAAGCATCACTATTGCCAGCAGTCAAACGGTGTCATCAGCTTCCTGCTTGTTCCCTGTTCCCATCTGTTGCCTTGGTTGTTCTCGGTTGGGTCCAGATCCTGTGGCTTGTCTCCGAGCAGGCTGATTTCTGCAGCGGGGGAGAGGGGGTTTTATGATCTGGGCTCTCGACTGCAAGTTCCTGGGTTAAAACCAAAACGCGTCCGTGGCACCCAGCCCTGTGGGACTTCAGTCCTGGCTGAGTTCGCACGGGAAGTTTGGCATCGACATCCCCAGAGCAGTGCATCTGGCGGAGGTTAGATCTTGACGGAGCTCTCTGTGGTTTTGTGGACGGACGTGTGTCCCTCTGAAGAGCGATTCAGGCGCGGGGGCTGCTCCCGCACCCAAGGGTTGCAGAGAGCGACGGGCAGTAACTCCCGCGGCCTCCGCGCTCGCAGCAAAGCGAGTCAGAGGAAGGGAAACCTCCCGTTCTGGAGGGTGCACCGTGCTCCTGCGTCATCTCTGTCAGTCAGCGTGCGGGGCTGCAGACATCCCGGGGTGAGTCCAACCGGAGGGCGTCCCCTGCGGCTCTGCTTTAGGAGCAGGAGTGTCTCGGGCAGCGCTTCTGTGCTGAGACCTCGCCATCCCTTCCTGAAGATTGCTTGTGCCTGAATGTTGGGTTCTTTCCAGATAAAACATCTCTTTTTCTTCCCTTGCTCCCCAAATCTGCGCAGAAGCCACGTTGTCGAAGCGCGATTAGCGTGTGTTGTGCGTCCTTCGGGTAGGAAGGCAAAGCTGCCCCGGAATGGGGTCGGCTCTGTGGATGCAGCTTCACAGCCAAGAGCTTGTTGAGGGTCTGCTCGGGTTTCTGAATGTTGCCTGTCTTGTGTTCTGTGCAGTCCTCTCGTGGTGCAGCTACATTGGCCCGAAATTCGGCGAGTCCCGCGCCACTGCCCTGTAGCTACACAGTAGGAAAGGAGTTACAGAGGAAAACGGAGGTTAACGCAGGGATTAGGTCTAATTTCTGTTTCAGACTCATTTCCATTTCTTCAAATAGTCAACTACAGACAGCAGAAATACCAGGGAGAGAGGGGACACGTTTCTGGGAGGGTCCTCTGGGGCGAGCAGTCCGTGTCCTGCAGGAACAGCCCTCCCCGCCAGCCCTTCGCCCTTCGGCTCCGTGAGGGCTCCGGCTTCCCTGGTGCCGCTCGCACAGAAACGCTGAAAATCCGTCCCCGTGGTTCTGAAATGTCCCTTTTCACCGCGGCGCCGGCTCCTCCCCCCCGAGCTTTTCCCAACGCAGGCGCTTGGTGAAGCCGGGTTACTCCGGAGTCACCAGAGGTTGTCTGCTGCGGTGTTCTCCGCGTCGCTGTGGCAGCAGCAGCGGTGTCGGCACCGTTGCCGATGCTGACAGCAAAGCTTCGGTGCAAGGACCCGTTTTCGACACCGTGGGTCACTTCCACGCTTGTTAATTCGGTATTGCTGGGAGAGGGTGCCGTGCCACAAGGTGTGACATCATTCAAGCCCTTTTGGGCTGCTTCTGAGATATCCAGGGACTTCTACAAATGAAAGCTTCCTTTCTGTTTGCTCTCTTTTTGCTTTTGAAAAGTTCCAGCGACTTTTACTATTTACTGTTCATTATTTACTAGGACTCTCAGTATTTGAGATTGGGGTTTTAATCTTGTCAATATTTAGGGATTCCCCCCCACCCCAACGTAGACGTGCGTGTCAAACTGAAGGGGAAGCAGAGATGGAGATGACCAGGCCTGTTTTTCAAAAACATGGCATCTGAATTTTTGGGTCTGTCAGCGCTCCCATGCTCAGCCAGAAGCATTTGAGCCTCATTTTTTTTTCCTAGTTTTTTTGTCCCAAAATGCTGAGCACACATCTCCAAGTGAAACATACACTTAGCGTGCCTTCAACTGGGACCCCCAAGGCAGCTGGGAGCCACCAGTGTCCCCTTCTGGTCTGACCTGCTTGCAGAAGGACCCCCCAGTAAAGGCAGCAGGAGAACTGGAGGTCTGTCTTGGCTCTTGAGCTTGAGTTTAGACCATCAGCAAGCGTTGCAGAGGGCACAGCGCTGTGAGATTCCTGAGCTCCGTGATGAATCGCCGTCAGGTGTCCAGGTCTCCGTTCCTGGGCTGCCCATTATGACACGGGAATTAAGAAAATAAACGTTCGTACCATTGTTAAATTAGTCATAACCACAAGGATTTATTCAGCTGCCTAATGCGAAGCTATCGCAAGCAGGGAAGCGTGTCCTCTCCTGTGGCGTGCTTGTAAGGCACCGCTTCATGCTTCAGCGCCTGAAAAGCCCGTCGTGCCTTCGTGTGCTGCCTCGTCGCTGTAGCGTCCGTGGGATCATTTTGCTCCTGTGTTTTTGTGGCTTTCGTCTTTTGGAGGAGCTTTAACCGAAGGCCAATCAGCGTCATTTTTACCGGTTAATTTGGCTCGCTCTCCGAAGCTGATTAGATGACCTTGCCAAGGAATCAGTGGGGAATTGTTAGAGCGAGGCGAGCTCGCTTGGTGAACTTCCAGCGCTCTGGCTTGGTGCCACCCTTCCTATTTATAGTCTTGCAAGAAGAATCAAGCACTGACGAGAGCTCCTGATTCGAGGACCAGATGACTGACCTGAGCAGAGATACTGCCCGGGAGCCGCAGAGGTCTGAAGAGCCCGTCTCCATTTTCCAGGTCATTCCAGGCTTACGGCTTATGTGCTGAGAAAGTTTCTTTCTCATCCACTTATTTCTACGGTTTCTGCAGTTCCTGATCAGTGGGTGCTGTACTGGCTGCGTAGATTAACTGCTGCAGATCCGTGAACCCTTCCATCTCTGTCCTCGGCCCGTGACGACTCGTCGTTGCTGTGACTGTGTCGTTTCTGGCCTCCCGGTGGGATTGTTCCTGGAGTGGATCTTGCTGCTGGATCTCGCTTGCGGTTCTGTCCTCGGCCCTGACCTGAGAAGTCTTGGGTTGAGTTCTCTGTTATTGCGTTAGGTTAAATGCCGAAACGGTGTTATCAGCGTTCGCTCGCAGGGTTCAGCTGCACAGCCAGAGTCTTCAGATGATTTAAAATTCTTGAGGATCTGTCTTATCTGAAATGCCGGGTGATAAACTGGGTGTAACACAATTCAGCTGTCACTGGTATGCTGACAAAGCATGAGGCTTCACGCCTGTGCCAGACCCACCTCTCTCTGTGCGAAATAAACCTCAGCTTGTCTTTCTGACAACGGAGCTCAAGTCGGAGAGGCTAAAACGCGGCTCTGAATCCCCCCAGCCCTCCCCTGCTGCCCGTGTCCTGCCTTTCGGTCACTGTGAAAGTGTCTGTAGCTGCCTGGTCGCTCAGGACTGGTAAATAAGCGTTTCCAGCCCGGAGGCTGGGGTGGATACACCCACGCCTGTGTCTAACACCAGGGTTCCTGCTGCTTGGCCTGCGGAGGAGTTAGTGTTTTCTGTCCCTTCACGCAGCCGGACCCTTCGTCCAGGCTGCCGTTGTCTCCCTCTTGGTGGTTGCCTCGTCCTTTCCTCTGCCCTTGGGGACAGTGATCCTGCCCTGCCTGGATCTTTGCAGAACGCTGCTGCCGCAGAGGTCGCTTCCCCAGCCGCGGCTGTTAACGCGCTCTGTGCCGTCCCCCCGCGGCTCTTCTTTCCCTGCCTCGTTTTTAAAGCCGTTCGTGGTCTGTCCCTGCCGTCCGTCTGCTCGTTTCATTGCTGCGAAATCCATCTCGGCAGCTGGCGAGGCCAGCCTTCCTCACCCCTGCAGGACACTGGGGGTTGTGAATTGTAAGAGGCTTTTTAGCAGGGTTTAAAAAATCAAAATAAAAAGCGACCCTCCTCCAAACAATTGGAAAGACACAAAGTCCGAAACTTTGTAGGGAGTTATTTTGGGCATTTTTTGAACTTTTATTTAGGCGCAGAAATGAATATAGTAATGCTTTCCGGGCTTGGAGCTTGGAGAGTTAAGCGTACGTTGACATAATTTCAAGCAGCCCTGGAACAGTCGCCTCTGCCCGCCTCAGAGGGGACAGACGTTTGCACATCAGGGGTCTGTGCAGAGGAGTTAGCGGCGGGGCGGTGGGGCTGTTCGCTCACCGAGCTGCCGACTCTCCAGTTCAAACCCAAGTGAGACAGAAGCCGTTGGGTCTGTCTCCAGGTCCGCCAGAACAAGTGCGGGTTCTGCGCCGGGTTCGGTGCAGCGGGCCCCTGGCAGTCGGGTTCGGACGGGAGGCGGCAGCTTGCGGGACCTGTTAGTTGGGGAGAAATGAGGCGGTTACTGTGTGGAGGGAACGGTTATAGATCTGTGGGGCAGCCACGGGGGAGCAGCGACTGACTTCTTGGCTCTTGTCTCTTTTGCAGTTGGTGTATCCTTATGACTTTAGACTAACGGAGAAAGAGGTAAATGTTCTAATTTGGTTTTTTCCCCCCTGGTTTTAAAGACGCTGAGCAGCCGCGGTGAAGGTTCTCCCACTGTGTGTTTTTGTTTGTTGCAGAAAACGAGTATCTGCTACTTGTCCTTCCCAGACTCCTACTCAGGTAGGTGGCATCTGGCGGCCGTGCCGGCAGCCTGCCGGGCGGTTCGTGGCGTTAGGAGAGAAGCGGGGTTCACG